ATATATATATATATATAACATGTAAACATGACAAGTCAATTCAAACTTTTATATTCTATTACAATATTGCATAATTTTCTATCACAGTTTTCTTTGGAATTTGAGATTACTCACATTCATTATTTTAGTATATAGGGATTATAATTGCATATGTATTAGTTTGATACTTGGTGGAGGACTTGTTTGTAATGAGTAAAAAGCTTTTTTAAATACTTTATATTTTTCCTTTATTTCAATTAACAAAACATTCCATTAACATAACTGGTTCAATTTTTTTTTTACCTTAACAGACTTTTTTTCAATAAACAAGTCTTGGATTGACTTGCCTTTAAATAATCTTCTATATATAGAAGGATTGAATAAATTCTTAGACTTTGCATTTTCTATAATTCTTGCTTTCTAATTTCATATTTGTCTTTCTTCTTGAAATAACATCTAGATAAACATCATTGATTGTGTTGTGCTCCTTTGATATTCACCGAATTTGTTGTTCCCAAGTTGTGTTTTAGCTTTTTTTGATTCCTAAAAAGGCAATATTTGTATAATAAGAATTTTTCATTGTAGATCTAATTTGAATTCAATTTTAACAAAGTTTGTAATATTTTAGGTATACTTTGGTGATCTTGTTGGAATTTATGAGACCTTTTTCATGTTGTCAGCTATTTGTATAATTAAAACCTTATTGTTTTTTAAATTTTTGAAGAAAACAAATAAATTGTCACGTTTAATATTGGTATGATTTTTATTTCTATTTATATATTTAATTGTGTTGATTTTTTTTTTTGAAACAGGTTATTGAATTGAAATCATAAATGGTTGAACAAAATAAGAAAATAGAGGAACAAAATAAAAGATTTGAGACAATGATGATTTTTTTTGCACAGAATTATTAGGGTCAAGGACTTCCTGACTTGCCTATATTTCAATCTTCACCGGTAATATTTTAAATTTGAATTAATTTTATAAATATTTTAAAATATACTTTATATTTCTAACTAAGTTTTATATTTAATTTTAGGTATCTGACCAAGGAAGTGCACAACCAATTAATGTCCCTAATCATTCTCCAACAAATTCTCAAGATAGACAATAGGGCTATATTTGTTAGGGAAAGATGTTGTTGACCTTTTTGTTTTAGGAAAATCAATATTTTGTTGTATATGTTTTTATTACTTCTTTAAAGTCATTTTGGAGGGAGAGATGTTGACCTTTTTGTTTTACGAAAATCAATATTTTGTTGGATATGTTTTTATTACTTCTTAAAAGTCATTTTGAATATTACTAAACTATGAATGTTACTAAACTATGGATGTTGCTTGTTAGGAATTTTTTTGGATGACTTGTTTATGTACATTTACTTATTAATATATATTAAATTTATGGATTGTTTGTTCATTTTATTTTTTAATATTTATATAACTTGTGCATTTCAAAATTCATATATAGATTTAAATATTGTACATGGGTAAAATATATAAGGTAAATAAAAAAATATTTTAATTTAAAAAAATTGATTAACAAGGGTTAAAAACCAATGGAAAAGCTTAAAATTAATAGGGGTTAATGAACTCCAAGAAAGTATCACTTGTTGATAAGCCAATTGAGATGCTAATGATGGTTAAAAACCATTCATAAGCTACAGGGATTTAAAAATTACAAGTACAAACAAGATATTAAAAACATAGTGTGGCATTAACTAGGGTTTACAAACCCTGGTAAATTACGGGGGTTACATAAACCATAGGTAATGTGACGACGTTAACGGGGGTTTAAAGCCCGTAGTAAATTATGGGGTTACACAAACAGCCGGAATTGATGATGGCGTTAACGGGAGTTTACAACCCCCGATAAAATACGGGAGTTTTGTAAACCGCGAGTATTGACTATATCGTTAACGAGTGTTAGAAAACCGTGGGTATGCCATGCATTTTTGGTAATTGTCAAAAACCGCTGGTAAATTGCTTGCCACGGATGCTTTCCCGACGAAAATCACAACCATAGGAAATACATTTTCCGTAGGTTTTAACCACGGGTAATGCCAAAAATAACCCATGCTAACTCTATTTTTTCTTGTAGTGATAATTTTGACTATAAATAGGGATGTCCAAACCATGTTTAATCATCTAATTTTTAACTTTAGTTTTCATATTTTTCTCTTTCTTGTATTCATTATTGAGGTTCTATAAGAGGCTAAAAGTCGAACTTTCAAATAAGGATCTTTCTAATTATAGTTATCTCTTTTCCTTTGTTTAATGGGTTCTACCAGCATGTCTAACTAGTTTCTCTTTTTTAGGTTTGTGATGTAATTTTTCCTAGTGAACCTCTAATGATAAATTCATGAATTATGTTTTAACTGTCATATTATTTTAGTATTTTGTTTTTATCTTAGTTAATCAGAAGAAAATGATCAAACTCTTTTAATTATCAAAACTCAAACAGTTAAATTCTAGAAAATTGCATGATCAAACTATTTTCTTAATTTTCAATTGAATTAATTTATTAATTTGTTTATGCATTTTTATGATTTATTTTTAGAATAAATCTCTTACGAGAAATTTGGAATTTTCTTAAAGTAAAGAATATTGACTTCTTAATTGGAACTAAAGGATTATCAACAATTTCATAAATAAATTAGTAACATTGTATAGTTTATGAATTTTATCTTGGTGGGCATCATGAACAATAAGTTATAATTTTAGGACATTTATCTCTTACTCTTAATATAAAAAAATCTAATATTCTTTTGTCAAGTCTTGAATTAATATTCTTTCAAATCAAATTCTATTTCTTTAAACTATTAAAAATCAAGATTAAGTTAGTAATTATTTGAACCTAGTCTGTTGAATTATATACCTATATTTTGTTTATTGTTATTACTATGGTAAGGTATGTTTGCCTTTAAACACAAAAATTACCGTATGAAAAGTCAAAACATTATGTCATATATCTCCAGCATCATCATTTTCTTTTAATCACAACATATACTCCTTATAACATTTTTATGTTCTTTTAGTCTTGATTGTTAAAGTAATTATGGTATATGATGACGTAGTTACAGAGTGTCATGTAAAGATTTATTAATCAAGAAATTTTTAAAACATATTAATTAAATACTAGTGACTTTACAACAAAAAAAAAATGAAGATAATAAAGATAACATTAAAGAAAATACAAACAATTTTGACATGTAATTGAGTGTAGAAGAGAAAATAGCCAAGTACAGCGAAAGCGAAGGCAAATCCAAATTAAGAGCTGTGATGGAAGAAGATTCATGGTTGGTGAAAATCGCAACAATACTACTTAATTAAGGGTTATTAATTTTCTTTATTAGTTCTTCTTATTTTAGTTAATATTTTTTTATGAGTTAAACATCTATACATTGTCAATGTAAAATTTTTTTACACTGGCAACTAATTATATCTTTTAATTGTGTCATGTCATTGTTAAAAGTAAATGTGTTTATAGTGACATGACACAATTAAAAAATATAATTGATTGTCAATGTAAATTTTTTTTTACATTGACAGTGTATAGGTGATTAACTCTTTTTTTATTCTTATAATTTCATATTTTAGTTTTTTAGTTCCATAAAATTATTTTGATTATTTTAGTCCATATAATTTGATATTTTAGTTATTTTTAAATTATTTTTGTTATTTTAATATTTATGTTCACAACATATGGTGTGATGACATAAAACTTTGTTTGTCATGCTATAATTTTAACATAATTTCCTTAAGGGCAAAAATTAGAAAAATACTAAAATAAAAACATATTATAAAAACTATTTTTTGAGAGCCCATGTTCAAAAGAGATTATAATCTTTTATTTTAGCTATTTTTTTAATAAAAAAAAACTGTCCCCAAAATTATAGTTGTGTTTCTTTTTTCGTTCCTGGTGTATCTATCATCGATAGCAGTGACTAATCTTCTCGCTACGTTGGAGACACCTCAAAGGGTGGAATAGTTGGCCCCAAGATTTAACGCAACTGCATACACAAGACAGGATTCGAATCCCTTAAAAATATAGTTGTATTTGAAATCACCACTTAAATTTGTAAACAATTTCTTTCTTGAAAAAAAAGTCGATATAAAGGTAAAAGTTTGAAGTTTATGATCATTTCTTTTTTAATTTTATGTTGATTTACTACATAAAAATTATTGTTTTTTTATTATATTCAAATGATATTAAACATTTTAAAATTACTTATCAACAAATTGATCTAAAAAAAATTTCATTTTAATCGTAATCGATTATATGAAATAATTGAATTTTTATAATATTCTAAACACCCAAAGCTATTGAATTTTAATATAGAGATAATCCACAGCATAAGCATCAAGGACAAATAGCAGCCATTACTGCAGCTTACGACAATGGTGGGGGAATCTGCTTACATAAAAACAGACAATCCTAAATAGAAAAATACCCTTATAACCCTCACACAACTCACATGCACTCTCTTTGCAACAAGACCCCACCACCTTACCAAACCGAACAAATAAAAACCAAATAATAAAGCGCGTGTTGTCCTCAACTTCACATTCCTATTTCCTTCTCCACTAGGATACTCCTCTCCCTCTTCATTCGCATGTGCTTCTCCATCTCTATCTATACACAAACTCAAGAACACAACAACATAGTAACCTTAAAGTGAAAGTAGTAAACACAGCACAACACAACACAAGTGAAAGTGAAACCCTGTGTGGTGCAGTGCAGGAGAAGGATATGGACTCGAAGGCCATGTGCTTCATAACGCACCAGGCCCTTTTCAACGCCGTTCGATGTGGGGACCTTGAAGGGATCAAGGAGCAGTTGCAGAACAAGGGTGAGTCCTCAACGGAGGTTATGTGCTTGCAGAACGATGCGGGGGAAACCATGTTGTATATAGCTGCTGAGCTTGGTCTTCGTGAGGTGTTCAGCTTCTTGCTTAGTTTGTGTGACGTGGAGGTGTTGAAGATCAGGTCCAAATCGGATATGAGCCCCTTTCACGTTGCAGCCAAACGTGGCCATTTGGGTATATGTTTCTTTTTCTCTTCAATTGGGTTTGGGTGTGTGTCATTTCTTGGGTATGGCTATGGATATTGTTGTTGATAGATTATTAAATGCAATTCACTTTAAAAACACGTTTGGAAAAAAAAATGGAATTGACAGTAGTATGTAGCTTCCTTGGCTTCACACTTCACAGCTTTAGGGAATTCGACAGACTAGAAATCCTAAACCTGTGACATCACCACTAATCCTACTCATTCCCATGGATCAATTTTGGATGGGTAAGTTTTAGTTTATGTGTAAGGCTTTCCCCGAGAGGCACGAGGGGTTGACATGATACTCCAAGATCGATTCTCATCCGTGTTAAAATAATGTTTAACCGACTGAAATCATATCTTACGAGTACAAATTAATCCTTAGTTATCAACTTCATAATACAGTTTTGACTATGTCCATGTACAAAAAATAACATGGATGGCATTCATCCCCATGTATAGGTTCCTACGGATGAAGAAACAAATCATCACCCAAATGCTCCTTAAACTTTGACAGAATTTCATAACCAAAATGAGGCAACCCCATTATCAAATGTTGCAAATGAGATTTTAAGAATTTTTGTTTGCTTTTTCAACCACAATATTTAGCTTTATGGGAAACACCTTCCAAACCTCAATATTTGAGATATTTTTCTTCTTTATTTTTTCCAATACATTATCAATTAGAAATGTACCACAAGGATCAACCATTCCACAAGAACCATGAATTGCTATGGATATGCCGTCTATTTTATTTTATTACATCACTGCTATGCTGATGATGATAAGCAGTTCAATTCTGATATGTTTGATTGTCAATCTTTGTCCAGATATTGTGAGGGAGATTTTAAGTACTTGGCCTGAGGTTTGTAAGTTATGCGACTCCTCTGACACTAGCCCTCTATATTCAGCCGCTGTTCGAGATCATTTGGATATAGTGAATGCAATTTTGGATGTTGATATGAGCTCAATGATGATAGTAAGGAAAAATGGCAAAACAGCATTGCACAATGCTGCTAGATATGGCATCCTTCGCATTGTACAAGCATTGATTGCTCGAGATCCTGGAATAGTCTGCATCAAAGACAAAAAGGGTCAAACTGCACTGCATATGGCTGTGAAAGGACAGAGTACTTCGGTGGTGGAAGAGATACTACAAGCTGATCCTATGATATTGAACGAAATAGATAAGAAGGGTAGCACAGCACTTCACATGGCAACCAGGAAAGGCCGTTCACAGGTCAATAGAACCATAGTTGATTTCTTTTATTTTATGCCATGTTTGCTTCAGTTTCAGCATTAACTGGTCCATCCAATCTTTCATGATGCTGTGATTATGTTAGCTTCTTAGTTTTCTAACAATATCAGGTGGCAGTTCACTTTTCACATTATGCTATTGCAGCAGAATCTATACTTGTATTTGCTCATCATTCTTGAGCATAAATGCTCAGGTTGACATAGCTCATTCTAATATTTGTGTTTTAAGAAAAACAGTTTCAGCCTTGTTTGAGTAATTTAATTTGCTAAGAAGGCTAGGGAGTTTTGTTAAAAACTTGTGTTTAACTGCATGCAAATGATGGGAAAAAGCTAGATGACAAGGGATTAAAGTTAGTGAGACTTCACCTGTTCAGATGTGATAAAAATAAGTTATAGACAGTGTCTTTGCTCCCTCCCTAAAGGTTCTACTTCTACAATTGGTAAAGCTATGGTCTATGCATTTTTCAAACCGCAAAAGCCCAAGTCTTGTAATCAGAACATGTTATACCGTTAAAAGAGATAATTGGTGTTTCAGCTTGCAATAGTTGGACATATTTTTCTTCATGCCCTGAACTCAGTTGTCTAATAATAATATTATGCAACAAAATCTGGTTCAAGGAGAAGCAATTCAAACATCTATTAATCAAGTAGGAGCATAGATGACTTAGCAAGGGATTCGAATCCTGTTATTGTATGCTAGTAAATAGTAACAAAAAAATCATGGTGTCTTGGATTTTGGAGAATAGTTTATGTAAATTTGTGGTTTATATGGAAAAATACGTGTTGATACAATTATTTATCTTCAAACTGTCTTTATGCGGCATAACATGAAGCTCATTTACACGCATACTTGATAGCATTCTATGATGAACAAAATGCATGTGCTTGTTTCCTCTCAGAATTGTAGCATGCCTTTCTTGAAATGAATTTTTCTTGCCTCCACTGACACATGATTCTCCTTTTTTCAGATAGTGAGCCTTTTGTTAACCTACACAGCTACGAATGTCAATGCCATCAATAATCAGAAGGAAACAGCCTTAGATTTGGCAGATAAACTGCCATATGGAGATTCATCTTTGGAAATCAAGGAGGCCCTTGCAGAATGTGGTGCCAAGCATGCCAGGCATATTGGGAAAGTGAATGATGCCATGGAACTAAAAAGAGCTGTGAGTGACATAAAGCATGAAGTGCAATCACAGCTTATACAGAATGAAAAAACTCGCAGACGAGTTTCTGGTATTGCTAAGGAACTGAAGAAAATTCATAGAGATGCAGTTCAAAACACCATAAATTCTGTCACAGTTGTAGCTGTCCTTTTTGGCTCAATAGCATTCATGGCTTTGTTCAGTTTACCTGGTCAATATCGAAAGAAGCAACCAGAGGCAGGGAAGGCGAATATAGCCGGTGATGTTGCCTTCAGTGTGTTCTGCCTTTTGAATGCTACAGCTCTTTTCATTTCTCTTGCGGTTGTTGTTGTTCAAATCACTTTGGTAGCTTGGGATACAAGGGCTCAAAGGCAGGTTGTGTCAGTGGTTAACAAGCTAATGTGGGCTGCATGTTCTTGCACTTGTGGAGCTTTTCTTGCTATAGCCTTTGTGGTTGTTGGAGATGAAACATGGCTAGCTATTAGTGTCACCCTTTTGGGAGCACCAATTCTAGTTGGTACTCTAGCATACTTGTGCTACTTTGTTTTCAAGCGGCATTTCGGACCGCGCAGTGATTCCCAGAGATTAGTCAAGAGAGCAAGTGGAAGCAAGTCATTCTCATGGACTTACTCAGTAAATATATCAGATGTAGATGATTATGATTCTGATCTTGAGAAGATATATGCTCTATAAGTATGTGAACTTGAACTGATATCTTGCCACCTTAGTGGAAAGTGAAATGTTTACTACTCACTAGGATTCAGCTGCTTATTTTGAAGTTTACTAGTAAGTCTTACACAAGAAAATGGTTGGATATGTTGATACATGTAACTGATGATCAGAAGTCGGATGTAGATTTATGTACATGGAAATAAATATGGAAAGGAAGTTTTGTAAAAGCTTATATCTAGCTCTGGATTTTTGAAACAGGTTCTGGTCCATAATTTGGTGGGGACTGACTTTCTTTTGTTGACTAAAGACATATTAAGCATTAGACAGGCTTTTCTCTGCTATGAGGTTGAGACTTGAGATGGAAAAGAAATACTTAGGTGTATAGGAGTTTAATGTGTTTAAGCAAGGGAATTCAATGTGGTAATTTAGTGTCGTAGAACGTTGCTTGACAAGAGAGCTAACACTGCATTTTCCCAAATTACTTTTCCATTTTGAAGCATGATCTCCAATACAGCACTTTTTGGTTGGTAGAGTAGATGGTTGTTCATTTAGTAGAATTTTTGGAGGTTTGCTTAGTTGGTGTCATGTAGAGATACACACAATTAAAACCACAAGTCTCTAATCAGTGGACTGGGAAATACTCGTGACAGAAAAAAAAAACTACAAAAGCAGACATTGCGAAAGTTTCATAGTTCAACCCTTGGTGGAATATCGCTAACTTTCTATAATATGCTAAGTATGAAAGGTAAAGAGCACTTAGAGAAATGTTCCTTCATTAATTAACTTTGGTAGCATATAATTTGGTATCACCCATATCTTTGAGGAAAATTTGGGGATATACATATCTCTTCTACAAAGGCAGTCTTCATATTTAACTACCACGAGTTATCAACCCTCGATTAATTATATTTCTATTATTATTAAGCAAAGTAGGTGTATTATGTCCTTGAACCATAAGAGGCATAGCATGGTGAGGTTGTCTTGTCAAGTGATGCTTCCCCTGTCTCCAAAATTGGGAATCATCTTATTCTTGTAAGACATAAATCGGTTGAATAAGTCAATAGTAAGCCAAGATCCGGATTCTCTCCAAACAAATTCATCCTGTGTTTGAAGGCTTGTAATTGTAGTCTTGTTAATATAACGGTTTAAATAACATTTTTGTCATTGTAAAATGGGAGTTTTTCTCATTTAGTTCATTTTAATTATTTTTTTTCCTTTTGTTCCTATAAATTTTTTTGTTTCATTTTCACCCTTGCAGTCAAATTCGCTGTTAAATCTAACAGGGAAAAACTAAAAGATAAAAGAAATTTATAGGACCAAAAGAAAATTTGGAAAAGTATAGAGACGAAAATTTAAGATGACAAACAAGAAAACTAAAATTTAAGAGGATCAAAATGAAGTAAATAAAATTAAGAGGATTAATATGAAAATAAAATTTGTAGGGACTAAAATCTATTTGAGTCAAATTTATAAAATTTAAACTTTTAAATACAATAAATGTACAAATGCCAAGTATATATATAACAGAAGCATTAATGACTAGTAAAATAAATAAATATATAAATTGAATGAAAAACTTTGTAAATGTCTTACAAAAGACATGGTCACTCAAATTTATCTCTATCTTATATTTTTGTTTGTGTTGCTCTCCGTATGTTTGTATCATTACAAAACTTCTATGAAGTTTTATATTTAAGGCTTAATTTAAAAAAAAAAATAGCTTTTTACTAAAAATTAAGAATTTTTACTCTACATCAATGCAAAATAAGGTTTAAAGTTTACAAATTTAGCTTATAAAGTTTTAGGTTTTTCATTTTTTTCCTCACAAATTTTTTTAGTAATTTTCATTTGGTTGCTTTCAAATTTTAGTTATTTTCATTTTGTCCTCTTAAAATTTAATCCCTACAAAATTTTAATTTTCTATGTTTAGATTTAGCGGTTCGAGAAGGATGAAAATGAAACAAAAAAAAATTATAGGAATAGAATTTTAAAAAATTATTTAAAAGGGACTAAAAGCAAAAACTCCCTATTATATGTTGGGAAAAAATATTTATTTAAGCCTAATGTACCTACACAGGGGTACATAGGTAATTTTATCACTCTACATGCACCCCCAATCTTCTATAACCAAGTTTTTGTCCATCAAGTCTTTGACCTTTGACCTTTTTATTATTGTCCTCGGTGGTACTTATCTAAAAGGGTAGGTGTCTTTATTCGTACCTATTTGTGTTAAAGTAATTGTCCTCGGTCCTATCTGTCTAAGGAGAAAACAGAGTGTATTTGCAAAAGTCATTCCGATACTCAAGTAAGTCTTTGATCTTAGTTGTAACACTCCAAGTTTTCTAAATTTATTAAAAGGATATTTTGATTAATTGTTGGTTTATAAAATATTTTAGAGACTTTTAATAATTATGAATGTTTTTAATTAAATAATAAATATTTTAAAAAATTTATTTTGTTTAATATTCATTAGAGAAATATGTATGTCTATAATATTTTATTATAATAAGTATATGGAGAAAATTATATGTTTTTATTATAATTGTTTATATATTTTATTTTAATTATAATTGTGTTCAAAGAAATATATTTATTTTATATATTATATATTTGTTAATTATTAATTATTAATCATTGTATTTTGTTATAATTATTTGGATTGGGAGAAATATGTTTATTTGATTTATTATTTATTTATAAATTTTAATATTTGAAAGAAAGGAAAAGAGGATTATGATTAAAGTATTTTTTCTAAAGGGTTAAGTGTAAGTTAAGTTTTAAAAAAATGGGGTTATGATAGACTATGGCCAAGGCCAAGGAATCCAAGAGGTGATATCCTAAAAGAACCAAGAGGAGTGAGATGATCTTAAAGACCTTTTCATATGTTTGTACATATAGTAGTTTCTTTGTATAGGCTTATTTTTGCCTTTGTATTTGTGAGACACTTTACTTGCTTTTATTAGTCATTGTATATTGATTTTAGGGTAGGTTACTTGGAGAGTTTAACTCCATTTAACCTCCTTTGTTGATACATTCATTTTATATTTTTTCAGTAGGGAAAAATGGGTGGCATTTAGCAATGCTTAAGGGTGTGACTAGCAATTAGGCCAGAACTGGGCCTAGGCAAAATTTTGCATATTAGACTTATTTTACTCCTAATTTTTCATAGATTTGATTTAGCTAGGTATCATCATCATATGATGAACCTAACTAAACCAAATCAAATATTTTTGAAATAAATCAAGTGAGCATTTTGAGACTTGGCCGCCTAGCTCCTTTCTTTGTTCTTGGCCGAAATTGTGAAGCTTCTCCTTCAAGCTTTGAAGCTTTCCTTCCAAGCTTCTAAACCTTGGTAGGTTAGGCTGACCTTACCATGGTTCTTAAGTGAACCATGGTCAAGGTTAGCTTCTCCTACAAGTTTTAGAAACCATGGATGGTTAGGCTAAACCTTACCATGGTTCCTATTGAACCATGGTTAAGGTTAGCTTACACTACAAGCTACCTCTCCCTATATATTTGTAAATCTGACCTAAACCTTCACTTTTGATGAATGAATTCAGAAATTCTCTAAGAATTCTCTCATCTCTTAAGTCCCTAAAATCGAGGAGCTTCTCCTCTAGGTTTTTCTTCAAAGGTTTTCAACCTTTGAACTAGGTTCCTCAAGCTTCTTCAAGCTTCTTGAAGTGGCCGAACCATCCAAGTTGCTTCTCCACCATGAAGGTTCTTCAAAGGTGTTTCAAGCTTCTATACCATCAACCTCAAGGTGCAAAGGTCAAATTAAGGTGGAGCTATGGAGATTCAACAACCGGTCTTCATCTAACTTCTATCAGTTTTGGTATCTAGAGCTTTGGTGCTCTTGAGGTTTTGTGTCTCTAATTTGTTCTACTTGAATCCGTGTTTTCTACTCTTTCTTTTTTATGTCTTAATGTGTGTTTGCTGTATGGATCTAGTTTTATTTCATATGTTGATGGATCCTATATGTCTCATGAGAAGTAATTGATTCATATTTTGCTTGTTTCCAATTCTTGTGAATCAATTCGGTTTGTGCTATTAGGACTCTTGTTCTTGTGCGTTTTTGATGATTTTTTTTAGTCTCTCCATTCCTTAACATGTGTCCGTGATTCAGGCCAAGGACGTTCTCCTACAGCGGTATTTCCATATGGCATCACAACAGATCTCGTCCTTCGACGAGTTCACTATACAGCATGTACCCCGAGAACAAAACACTAGAGCCGACCTTCTATCAAAGCTCACCAGCACCAAACGCCCTGGACAACATCGGACCATCATGCAGGAAACCTTGCACTACCTAGCCTAGACAACAAGGTCGTCAACACCAGCAACAACGAAGACCAGGGATGGATGGCAAGCATCTGGAGCTACTTGAAGGCAGGAGTTTTGCCCGAAGATAGGGACGAAGCTCGGAAGATGAGGATGAGGTCGGCCAAGTTCGTGATTTTCAGCGACGAACTGTTCAAGCGTGGCATCTCCACCCCACTGCTCAAGTGCTTAACTACACCTCAGGCAACCTATGTCATCGAGGAGATCCACCAAGGCATATGTGGCATGCATTCCGGGGCACGCTCAATGGCGACCAGAGTACTCCGAGCAGGATACTTGATGGAGTCCCTCCTTCCATGGTTGATGATAGTGTGATGAAGGGAGACACCTTGCCCATGATCTAGGCTCACCAAAGGGTAGACAAAAGGGAGGTTTATGGTGACAAGGGAAGCTAGGCGTGAAATGGTTGTAGGTGGCGGAAGTGTATATGGAAGGTGTTTGGTGCTCACAAGGTTGGCTCACTCCAAGTGTAGATGGAGGCCAATCTAGGGTTTCACTCTCCAAGGGTGGAGAATGAAGGTGGCTAGCCAAAACTAACCTAGGGACTAAGGAAAGGATTTGAGGCAAAAATGCTCTCTCAAATTCATATAATCCAAAGTATTTACAAGTGGTGGGGTGTTGGGTATTTATAGGAGGGGAGGCATCTAGGGTTGCATTTGGAGTGTGCATGGCCGAAATTCACAAGGCAAATGCACTCCAAATGACATGCCAAATGAACCCTAGATGCTACTTGGTGACCAAGTTTGGAATCTATGGGTCTAGATTGGCTACATCAAGGTGTATGATATGATCATGCAACCTTTGCCCTCCACTTGGGCCTAAGCCTTTCTATCACCAAAAATAGATCCAAAACAAAAATGCAGGAGCCACCTACCAGCGACTGATGGAAAAGGTTTTCCACCAGTAGATCGGTCGAAACATGGAGGTCTACATCGATGACATGGTGGTCAAAACCACCTCAGCCGAAGCTCATGCCGTCGACCTCGCCGAGGTGTTCGGCCAAATCAGGAGAGACAACATGCGTCTCAACCCAGAAAAATGCGTCTTCAGTGTCCAGGGAGGTAAGTTCCTGGGTTTCATGATCACTAGCAGGGGGATCGAGGCCAACCCGGAAAAGTGCAAAGCCATCATTCAGATGCAGAGTCCCCAGACCGTGAAAGATGTCCAGCGTCTGGCGGCCAGGTTGGTCTCTCTATCCCGTTTTATCCCCAGGTTGGCGGACAAGGCAGGGCCTATCTTCACCCTGCTGCGCAAGCCAAAGAACTTCGAGTGGACGGACCAATGCGAGGAGGCTTTCAAAAGCTTCAAAACCTTCCTCACTACTCCGCCAATCCTTCAGAGGCCGGATCACAAAGCCAACCTCCTCCT